CCCCCAGGAGGCCAAACTGCCCCTCCCCTGCTGAAGACACACTTGCACACACATAAAATGCACACACAAAGGCTGGGCCTGGCCACATCACATCATTCATTCTGGTCATTTCCCCAAAGGTATCCCAGTGTGGGGGCCAGTTGGGGACTGAGGGCAAGGGGATGTAGCCATGGGGCTCAGATGGACTGGGAGGAGGGGGGAGGGTGATGCATTAATTAATGGTTCCATTAATTAATGTAACGTTGCTTGTCGCTTTCTCGGCGTGTATGTATGGTCCATGCCCACTGCGGGTGCCAGGGTGGGTTTCCATGATGTGTGCCCAGCCTGGATGTCAGTTGTGTTCTGTGGGGGCGTGTGTGTAACTGTAGTGTAGTCAGGTGCTCAATGGAGATATAAAAATAAACATAAACAGAAAAATATATATTTTAAGTTTCAAAAAAATCAGACAAAACAATTCCCATCAGGTAGTTGTCCAACCCCCAGCTGGGTCTGATCCTACTCATCACCCACCTGACCTGGCTGCCCCCTCACTTGGGCTGGGGGGTTGGGGGGGGCCATTCCTTTTCTCTGCCCTTTTTTTTGTTGTTGTTCTATTTTGTACAGATGAGTTGGAAAAACAACAGCAACAAAAAAGTCAAGAAACTTTGTAAAATATTGTGTGTGTGATTCCTTGTAAAATATTTTCAAATGGTTTATTACAGAAGATCAGTTATTAAATAATGTTCATATTTTCACTTCAAACAGTTTCTATCCACTGTGTCAGACTTAGGGGAAGGAATACGTAGCTGTAAAGACAAGTGGCCAGGACCTTAGAGGCCCAGTCTGCTCTACTAGGAACAATCTGGGTCTCCAAGAGTAACAGCATGATGCTCTATAGCTTATACAGCCTAGACCTTTGATCTACTTTGTCTCATTTCATCTCACAAACCAACAGGAAAAATCTACCTGCCACCCCGCCACCACCACCACCACCCCCCAAAAAAAAGCTTCCCAGGACCTCAGGGCAAAGCCGACACCTTGGAGGAAACAACAATGACAGGCAGTTTCAGGCTGGGTTCCCATGCCAGCATTCAGGAGCCACACAAGAAGCCAGTGGCTGCTGGTGCCCATGCACCCATTCTGCTGTCCCTAGAAGGCCAGAGTTGGGCCTATTCCAAGCAAGTGGGACCTCTACCCTAGCTAAGGAGAAGCCAAAGGCAAACCCAGTTTTTGCGAATCCTCTGACAAGTCCTTCAACTTTTTTTTTTTTTTTAAATCTTCAATCGTAGTTCATATGACCTCTGCTCTTTTCACTGGAAAAGAATTGTAATCACTATTGAAGAGGGTTTTTTTGGTGTACACTATCAATGCTCTTTTGCCAACACACAGGGCCGAGGACTGCTCAGTCTGCACTCACTGATGTCCATCCAGCTGATCCGCACCATAAGCTTAAGGGCTGTTACAAGGGTATTTCCATATCACAGATTAGCAGAGAGCCCAGGTAATGAGGGTAAATCACCAAAGGTCTCATGAGATGGCCAGTTGGAGGAGGCCTTGGATGCTAAACAGATAAAAAAAGGACATTCCAGGGCCAGGTGGTAGTCTACAATCCCAGCACTGAGGGAGGCTCAGATGAGAGGATCAAAAGCTCAGGTCCCAACTGGGCAGCATAGCAAGAACTTGCTCAAAGGCCAGGAATCAGCACAGCACCTGCCTGAGAAGAACAAGGTCCTGAGTTCCATTCCCAGTACAAAAAAAAAAAAACCCTCAAATATAAGAGGCCAGACTTGGTGGCACATGTTTGTAATCCCAACACTCTGAAGGCTGAGGAGGAGGATTTTGTTTGGTTGGTTCTTTTTTTTTTTTTTTTTGGTGGGGGGGTTGGCAGAACCGGGGATTGAACTCAGGCCCTTGCACTTGCCAGGGAAGCGCTTATTGTACTTAGCCATCTCTCCAGCCCCAAGGAGAATTACCTTGAGCTCAAGGCCAGCTTCAGCTACTGTCCATAGTTCAAGGACAGCTTGAATTACAGAGTGAGACCCTGTCTCAAAATAATAATAATAATAATAATAATAATAATAATAATAATAATAAAATAGGGACAGGCGAGATAGCTCAGTGGAATAAGCACTTCCCTGGCAAGCGCAAGGGCCTGAGTTCAATCCCCAGTTCCACCAAAATAAATAAAATATAGAAAGGGTGGAGGATATTGCTCAGTGGTAGAGTGCACATGCATTTGGTCCCCAATATGCCCCCCCAAAAAAAATTTTAAAAAGTTCCAGGCTTCAGCCAAGATAGGGCTTTTCTCATTCCTCCACAGGAATTCCACAGGAGTTGACTACAGAGTGACACCTAACACTGGATCATAGAGCAATGCCTAACCTTCAATTCTTTTTTTTTTTTTTTTTTTTTTTTTTTTTTTTTTGCGGAACCAGGAATTGAACTCAGGCCCCTGCACTTGCCAGGCAAGTGTTTATTCCACTGAGTCATCTCCCCAGCCCCCAACCCTCAATTCTTATAAAAGACAATTTTGAGCTTCAGATAAATACCACTGTAGTTGTTTAGGGAGGAAGTGTGCTTCTATTATATTAAGTATATTTATACCAAAAAAAAAAATGGGCATGTTTATACTAAAAAGCTATTCATTACCAGGCATAGTGGCACATGCCTGTATAATCCCAGCTATTTGGGAGCCAGGGATATAGCTCAGCGGTGTGAACATCTGCATTTTTGACAAGCGTAAGGTCCTGAGTTCGATCCCTGGCACCAAAAAAAAAAAAAAAAAAAAAAATCCCATCTATTTGGGAGGCTGAGGCAAAAAAATAAATAAATAAATAACTTTGAGGGGAGCCTGGACAATGCATTACTGAGATCCTGTCTCAAAGTAAAACTTTAAAACTTGTAGTGCTGGTGATGTGGCTCAGTAGTAGAGTTCTAGCTCCAGTACCCCACAAATTTTTTTAAATTTAAGCCTCCCAAACCCCATCCTTATCCTTTGGCTTTTGGTACCTGTCGATTCTCCCTTGCACTACAAGAACTAGAGAAAATGTCCGAGAACTACAACTCCCAGCATACCCTCCTAAACCAGGACGGGCGAGGCCTGAGCGCACAGTCTCCCGGGACTTGTAGTTCTACCCAGAACCCTGTTCGGGGGGCGGGAAGTTCGTCAATGGGCCAAGTACTCGGTATCCCGGCATGCCGAGGAGCCGGAAGACACGCATTCAGAAAGCAGCCGCACCCCCACCGCTACCACCAGGGGGCGCATGCGCAACACCCCTGTTTTCCAGCCCCTGAGAAGCGAAGGGAGGAGGTGGGGTGGAAGCCGAGGCCCAGGCAGAGCAAGAGCTGATCCAGCCTGACTAAGACCTGGAACAAGGCGCCAGTCCTGTGAGGATCGAAGAGCGCACTAGCGTGGATGGAAGAGGCCCAGGCCTGACAAAGCTAGCCTGACCATCCTGGCGCAGGGCCTACGGGGTGAGCCGAAGTCGCCCAGGACCTTATCTCAAGGGCCAGGCCAGGGCCCTAGGCTTTGGCACGGAAATCAGGCCCAGCTCGGCCCTTCGGAACCACACCCCGACACTCCGGCAAGCCAAGCCTTCACTGGGGCCATAGGCCAGTGAGGAGCCCGCGCCCGGGCCTCCCGTCGGGGCTGGACTGGGAGGAGGCCCCGGGGAGGCCCCTGGCCCCCTGCTTACCAACTCTCAGGCCGCCGCCCGCCGGGAAGATGCAGCGCGCCCTTCCGGGTGCCCGCCAGCATTTGGGGGCGGTTCTGGCCAGCGCCAGCGTGGTGGTGAAGGCGCTATGTGCGGCGGTACTGTTCTTCTATTTGCTTTCCTTTGCTGTGGACACGAGCTGCCTGGCCGTCACCCCAGGCTACCTCTTTCCACCCAACTTCTGGATCTGGACCCTGGTCACCCATGGACTGATGGAGCAGCACGTATGGGACGTGGCCATCAGCCTGGCCACAGTGGTGGTGGCAGGGCGTTTGCTGGAGCCCCTCTGGGGAGCCTTGGAGCTGCTCATTTTCTTCTCGGTGGTGAATGTATCTGTGGGGCTCTTGGGGGCCTTCGCCTACCTCCTCACGTACATGGCTTCTTTCAACTTGGTCTACCTGTTCACTATTCGTATTCATGGTGCCCTGGGGTTCCTAGCTGGTGTCTTGGTGGCACTCAAGCAAACTATGGGAGACTGTGTGGTCCTGCGAGTGCCTCAGGTGCGCATCAGCGTAGTGCCCATGCTGCTACTGGCACTGCTGCTACTGCTGCGGCTGGCCACACTGCTCCAGAGCCCGGCACTGGCTTCTTACGGTTTTGGGCTGCTCTCCAGTTGGGTTTATCTTCGCTTCTACCAGCGCCACAGCCGAGGCCGAGGGGACATGGCTGACCACTTTGCTTTTGCCACGTTCTTCCCTGAGATCCTGCAGCCAGTGGTGGGGCTGCTGGCAAACTTAGTGCATGGCCTACTGGTGAAGGTAAAGATATGCCAGAAGACAGTAAAGCGCTATGACGTAGGAGCCCCATCTTCCATCACCATCAGCCTCCCAGGCACAGACCCTCAAGATGCTGAGCGAAGAAGGTACTGTGAAATCTTCCAAAATCTTAGCAAGCTAGGAAAGTTTTGGTTGAATCACATGCCAGCTGTCAAGGTGGTTGCTGCAGAGGCCGGTGACCTGTAGTTGTGGGGCAGGTTCTGAGAAAGAGAGGATCTGGTCTTTGGTCTTAAGCTCAGCATGCAGGTGTCATGGTTCAGCCACATGGTTTTCTCACCACTCCAGCCACTTAACAGGTCTCAAGAAATGCTAAATTTCCTTTGGTGCTGTGTAATGGGCTAATGGAGGTCTGTCACTCCCAGCCTTGCTTCAGAGTCTCCAAATCCAGGGGCCTGGGAGATGGCTCAGTAGAATAAGCACTTCCCTGGCAAGTGCAAGGGTCTGAGTTCAATCCGCAGTTCCACCAAAAAACAAAAAAGTTCAGTCTTCAAATCCTATGCACTGGACCCTGGGATCCAGAAACTATTTGTTGATCCTTTCTGCCCTGTGAAGAGGCTTACAGGGAAGGATGACTGGGGTCCTTAAAAAGTAGTCTGATGGGCCAGGGAGATAGCTCAGTGGCATAAGCACCTGCCTAGCAAATGCAAGGTCCTCAGTTTGATCCCCAGTATTGAAAAAAAAAAAAAAGTAGTCGAAGCAGGGCACTGTAGCACACACCTGCAATTCCAGTTACTTGGGAGGCTGAGCTAAAAGGTCACAAGTCTGAGGCCAGCCCAGGAAACTTGGTGGGACCACCAAGTGGAGGAAGGGGAGTGTAGCTTAGTTGCACAATGCAAGCGAATCATGTGCAAGGCTGTGGGTTCAACCCCAAGCACTACAATAAATTAATTAGTTTTTTGTTTTGGTTTGGTTTTTTTGGCGGAACTAGGGATTGAACTCAAGCCCTTGCGCTTGCCAGGCAAGCACTTATTCTACTGAGCCATCTCCCCGGCCCCGAAATTAGTTTGTAAAATGTAGGACCACACATGGTGGTAGATGCCTGTAATCCTAGCACTCAGGAGGCTAAGGTAGCATAGCAGCAAATTGGATGCCATCCCAGCCTACATAGTGAGATCAAGATAAGCCTTAACTACATAGTGAGACCTTGTCTCAAAAAAAGAATATACAGCACTTGGGAGGCTGAGACAGGAGAATCACTGCAAGCTTGAGAACAGCCTGGGCTAAAAAGTAAGTTCAAGGGTAACCTGAACTGCATAAGGAGATGCCATCTCAAAAAGACAAATAGGGGACCCAGGAGATAGCTCAGTGGCATAAGTGCAGCCTGGCAAGCACAAGGTCCTGCGTTCAATCCCAAGTACTACCCCTCTCCCCCAAAAAAGGCAAAGGGGGGACTTAGGAGGCACATAGCTCCGTGGCATAAGCACCTACCTGCCTGGCAAGCGCAAGGTCTTGAGTTCGATCCCCAATACCAAAATAAGAGGCAAATAAAGTTAAGGATGTAGTTCATTGATACAGTCTCTGATACTACAAAAAAGAAAGGTGATGTGGGCCACCCTAGTTTCCAAGTGCTGGACTGTGCCCTCTTCCTAAGCCTTAATTCAGAGGCAGTGTTTCTCTGCCACTTATTTTGGGAAGCCTGGGAGATTATAATACTTATCTCCGATGCCCCCTACCCCCAAGCAGGCGTGTCACCACACCCAAGGCACAGGCTGGCTACATGATCCCACCATAGGAGCTTAGTGACCACACCAGAAAATAGAGATATTTGCATTATCTGTAAACCAAGCCATCTGCAGCATCAGGAATCCCACCTGAATTATTCATTGGATACACTTTGCCCAGGGCAGGAGAGATCTTTTTCAATTTACCTCTTAACTCTTCCCTACCTGTGGATTCCTCAGAGTGATCACCATTTCCACAAAGTCTACAGCTCCATCATTCTCAACTTTTTTTTTTTTTTTTTTTTTTTTGAGACAGGATCTCACTATATAACCCAGACCAAACTCAAGGCAATCCTCCTGCCTCAGCCTACCAAGTGCTGGGACAATAGGAGTATGCCACTGTGCCTGGCTTGAGTGGTTTACTTTGGGTTTGGTTTTTTTATTGTTTTGAGACAGGGTCTCACTTTGTAGCTCAGGCTGGCCTCAAATTCAGTCTTCCTGCTCTAACCTCCTAAGTGCTGGGATTATAGACATGCACCAACACACCTGATAGTGAGTTTTTTGAGAATCTAGTGCAAGCATTTTTCTTTTGCATTTGTCAAAGATTTATGCTTTTTCTCATTTGTGAAATGGGTTCTTGGCAGGAAGCTTTCTGAATTCAGCACAAGAGTTACTCCCAAACACTCTCTCCATGGGGCTGTGCAACTGGAGTGCACAATATATCCCTTCCTTGAAAGTTCCAAGATTGGTGAGCCCAAGTGATACTGTGGAAAGGCACACATGGCTTACTTCAGGGCCTATGTCTAGGCCCTACAGCTTGAATCTCTGGGTGATAAGTCCTAAGATAGTGGTTTCTAGATCTTTTCCAGTAGAAGAGGTAGGACCAGGAGGGTTGGACTTGAAACTATTCCGGTCGGAACAGTTCAGTGGTGGTCGCCCTTCCTCCTGTGAGAAATCTTGGATTGTTAGGGTTGACTGGACATCCAGGTCGAAGAAAATAAACACTCATTAAAATTAATAAAAAATTAAAAATAAAAATAAACAAGGCAGGGAGGTGGGAGTAAGAGGTAGCTCTCTCCATGGAGATGGGGTTACTTGTTTAATCTGGTATTTGGCTGCGTGCTACTCTCACGTCTAAAGGGCTACTACTAGGAATATTCCCCATCTGTCCCTCTGACCCTTGTGAGAAAGTGACTAGCACAACGTGCTCTCTGCCTTGGCCAGTTTTAGACAGAACTGGCAAAGCATCTCTGGGATAGGAGCCTTGGCAGCAAGAGGAGAGGACTGTCCTGTTAATGCCAGCTTGCCATATGCCAGGTTAGGGGGCAGGGGAAAGCATGCTTGGCTTTCTAAGTTCATGACTATGTTGCCTCTTCTGTCTTATTCTATGGAATGGTGGAGATTTTGGTTCTCTTCTAAAACCTGGAAGGCTATCCAGACTGTCCCCATCTTGGTGGCACAGAAGGGATGAGGCATCAGGAGTCCACAGTGACCACTGTTAGAAGTGTTACCTGGCAGCACAGTCACACTACTTTCTGTAGGCCAGGGTGCCAAGCACATGGACTTTCCCACCTCCCTGCAAAGTGGCACTTTCAAGTGTCTGCCTCAAGGTAACACCAGGCTCTGGCCCATGCCCTACTGATGTGAGCCGTTTCTCCCTACAAGGGCTCAGCTAAGGGCCTTTGCTAACACCAGTCTTGGCAAATTTGAGGATGCTTCCAGAAGAGAAGGTCTTAGAGTTGAGGGGGGTAAACTGATACCAGTTGGCCTGCTTCCTGGGCTGAGTACAGAGAGGGTGCTAAGTGCCACCTCTTCTCAAAGACCCTTGCCAAGATGTCTGAGATAATCCTAACCAGAGAATTACTAACGTTGGATGTGACACCAGTGCCTAGGCAGGAAGCATTTTACCTATCTACCCTAGAGTACTACATCCACCCCACTTAGGCAAAAAACCATCACTGTTACCCAGCCAAGTGGGCAGCTGGGCAGATATCCAGCTGCCCTTTTTAGCCTGGAAGTGCCTTCATTATGAAAAGAAAACTGTTCAGCCTTTAAGTCCTCTTTCTGATGGTGGAGTGGGCCCTGACCCAGTCTCGGGAATACTAGGACCTCATGGGGAAGTGAAAACATGGGATTCTGGGAGACACTTATGTGGTAGGGGTAGCTAGGTATGGGTGAAGGGTGCAGGGTATGCAGCATGTCCAAACCCAGGTTTGACCTGTCTTTCCTGTCTCCTTTGGCTCTAGGCAACTGGCCCTGAAGGCCTTGAATGAACGGTTGAAGAGAGTGGAGGACCAGTCTGTCTGGCCCAGCATGGATGATGACGAAGAGGAGGCTGGGGCCAAGGTGGATAGCCCCCTGCCCTCAGAGAAATCTCCTACACCTCCAGGGAAGGAGGCTGCCCCAGAATCCAGTCTCATCACCTTTGAAGCAGCTCCCCCAAAGCTGTAACTCGACCACCTTGAGTATAGCACTTCTTCTCCCAAGCCCCTTTGATGCCTCTCAGCTACTCCAGGGCATGACTACTCTGAGGAGAGGCAACAAGGCCTTCTGGGGCTTTCAGGGCCTTCTGTTACGTTTCGCCAACACTACCAAGGACCTTGCTACCTGGTTCCAATTCCAGATAACCATTTGGTCAGGCCTGGAGCCTCTGAGGCATCAGCCAGTCCAGGGCCCCATCTGAGGTAAGAGTGTACCTCAGCAGGCAGCCCCAAGCAAGTGGCTGCAGGGACACTGGTGCCATAGCTCCTGGACCAGCCCTCGCATCTGAAACTTGTTGCCAAGAACCCTGAGCCAAGGCAAGGATTTACATTTGCCAAAAATGTTGTGGAGGCCCAGCCAGTGCAGGAGTAGTGCGAAGCTGCACATCCCTGCTCACTCCGGGAAAGACTGAATCTGTCAGGATTTGTTTCCCTCTGCTGCGGCCGTGACTGCTTCTGGGCCAGAAGAGCCACAGTTCCCAGGTATTTTCTACAGGACCACTTGAGCGGGCAGCCCAGCCCAGCCTTGGAGTATCAATAAAGCATTTCTTTGAGGTATGAGTCCTGGGCTCTGTCAGGCCACCTGTATAGCCTTTCATCATGGTCAACTGCGAAGTTAGATGGTCTTTACTTTGGGTCCATCTCCATGGCATCACCACCTGGATAGGAAGCCCCTTACCCCACTCCCCATCCCTCTACTGCATGTTTGCTGCCAGGCAGCCATCTCAGAGCCATCACCTCTGACCCTTCGCTCCTTTTCGTCTCCTTCCAGTCCTCAGGTGAGGATCCCCTCTGCCTCTTGCCAGGGGATCTGACAGTTGAGGGCCTCTCCATCACAAGTGGTTGCTCTTGCCCATGTTTTTCCTCTTAAGATGGAGTGCTGTGTACTTGCCCCCACCTTTGGAGACAGCCCATCCATAGTTCCCATCCTGTCACTGTCTCCACCCAACCACCACAGTTGGAGACTAGCACAGGCTATAGCCGGAAGATGGAGAGGACACAGCTTTACCACTCACAGCTATAGCTCTAGGGTCTGCTAGAGCCCTGGGTGGCACAGGAGACTCAGCAGCCAGATCGTGGGCACCCATGTGTTGGGACAGCTTCCTTCTCAGAAGGTATCACCTTGCCCAGCCGCCAGTTTTCTTGTGAAGGCATTAGTGAGAACCATCCCCAATTGTGGGCTGCTCCTCCCATCAGTGTTTTCATATAATTTTTATTTTCTTTTTTCCTCTCGGTAATTTCTGGATGTGCCAGTACAAGTATGAACTACATTGCTGGGGAGGCAGCAACCCCAGTTTCATCCAGATACATGACCCATATGCTCCTCTGGGATGGAGAGACAAAGAAAAGAAGCACTCTTAACATGAGGGACAAAAATGTCACATCACATACTAGATTCCTGCCCTTGACTGCCCCAGTGCCTGAAGTGTCCCCAGATGCAGTTAGCAAAGACAGTCCAGAAGGTCCCCAGCCCCAGCACCTATTGTGAGGAACAAATCTAGCTTCTCTTTGGGAAGAGTTCATGGCTGGATCCTCTTGCGGTACAGGTACGCATTGCTCACCTGATTCATGATTACCAAGCTGGTGAGAACAGGGCATAATACAGCCAGGTACCAGGCCCCACCAGTGACAGAGGCAGTGAACCACAGGGAGCACATGCCCAATAAGAGGCTGGCACTACCCAGCAGGTAGCCTACCAGCCCAGAAGTGGCATGATATAGCTTGAGCTTTGCCAGAGGCCATCGGGGTAACAGCTTGGGATACAGCAGCCCCACACCGCCTGCACACTGCAGTCCTGCCCACAACACAGCCAGCAGCCCTGCCTGCCCATGCCGTGTGGCCAAGTGGGCTTTACCAAGTTGTTCTTTGTGAAGGATAACCAGGCCCAGGCCCAGCAGTGCACTCAGCAGGGCCAGCAACTGCAGCACCCAGTGGCAGCAGACCCGACCCTTCCTTGAGAGGGAGCGCAGCAGTGAGCTCTCAGGAGAGAACACCAGTAGTGCCTCGGTCATCAAGAAGGAGAACTGAGGAGACAAGTTTAGAAGTGATTGAGGGTGCTATGCCAGCAGGGGAGGCCTTAAATAACCCCTCAAGCTGTCAGTGTACCCGAGCTAATGCCCCTTTCCATCTCTCCCCATTGATAAAACTGTCCATTTGGTGCAGCAAGAGTGGAGAGTCCTGTCTGGGACAGGACATCTGCTCCAACTGATTAGGTTCACCACACTTCTTCCTGGGTGCTATTCTGAAATGTCAGCTCTGCTCTGCTGTTACCCAGAAAACAAGGTTGAGATATGGCAGTTATAAATGATTCAAAAACTCTCCCTGCAATGGGCTGGATGCAGTTTCTTGGCAAGAGCTGGCCATATGGGAACCCTGTTTCAGAGGAAATTAGATATGTCACCATAAATTAAGGTAAAAAGGGATGGGAATATCCAGTGCAATTTTTCAGCTCCCTTCCTGGAAGTGGGAGAAGCTTCATCTTGTGCTTAAACATCTGTTCTGGTTCAAGCCTGAGATATATAATGGGTAGGAGTTCCAAACAGGCAACTAAGGGTTCATACAGATTCAAGCGCCACCACCCATACTCATGCTCCCACCCCTAAAAGCTATGCAGACCCACTACTTACAGCCAAAGACATAAGCATAGGGTGCCAAGAGAACAGGCCTGGAATGAGAAGAGGAGGATTTGTGGAGCTGAAACACTCAAAAACTAGCCACACCAATCCCTAAGACTGAGGAATCCAGGCAGCCCATCACCAGAATGCCAAAATGTGAGCCCACTCTTGCTGCAACAAGTTAACCCTCTACCCATCCTCTCTTCCTGGGTCAGAGGCCATGCTTTGCCACCCTTCCAGTACCTCCCAAATGAAGCACTACAACAAGCAAATAAAAAGGTACTCTTGTAGGGACTGGCCAAGCTGGCAAAGCCCCAACAATGTACGTGCTCCTCCCACAACACTGTCCCACCAGCATAGAATATTCCTCAGCACGTCAGGCCTGTTCCTAGGAGTCAGGCTCAAGGTTTCATACTGTCCCTGTTCCCTCAGAAGTCAACTGTGAGTTCTACTTACTGGAGCCAGGCCTGGCAACTACAGCTACAAAGATGGTAAAGCCCAGGGCCACAAGGTGAGCTGCAGCCCCAGAGGCAGTGCGCAGAGTTCGGTAGATGTGCGACTCGGTCTCCACAGAAAGGGCCATAGCCAGACCAGCAATTGTAGCCTGAAAGCATAGTAGCATTGACAGGAGTCACTCTCCAACCCTCTCACTAGAGCAAGGGTTATAGGACAGGAATGTCACCCTCTAATAAGAAGTTATGGTAGGAATGACCAGAGCAAGAATGGCACCAGGAATAGTTGCAAACTGCCACTAGAGTCAGTGTCTGTCTGTACCTGAACTGGTATGGATCCCTAGAGCACTTTTAAGGTAAGAGGAGCAAGCTCATAAAAAACTACAAATCCCAGAACGCATCATGCTCGGGAGCCCTAAAGGGGCGTGCATAGAGTAATCTGGGAATTGTAGTTTCCAGTTGCGCGGTGAGTTACAACATGAATCCCTTGTATACTGCCTCCCACTTGCCGCTAGCATGCTGCACCTTCAGACTATGGATTTACCCACCTCACCTGCAGCGCCGACCTGACGCGGTACTTTTCTACAAAAAAGTTGGGTGCTCCGGGATCTACCGCACGCACCGCCACCCCGTCACGGAGCAGCTTCACTTCCGGGTGCGACGTCTACCCACCCGGGACTTCCTGGGACGAGCCTCCCTCCAACCACGCCTCAGAGTTGCGCTGCGCAGGCGCTATTGAGTCTGCAACTTAGCTGTTTGTGTGCACGGAAATCCGCTGCACTTGGTGACACAAGATTCTGGACTGTCTCTGACAGATGTTCTCGGGGTGGTGACCCCTGAACGCCAAGGACCAAGAGCTACAACTTGAAAGAAGCTAGCGCCATGGGCAGCAGCTGCCGCATCGAATGCATATTTTTCAGCGAGTTCCACCCCACGCTGGGACCCAAGATCACCTATCAGGTGCCGCCCGGGGTCAAGGGACTGGGATGGGGAGGAGGGACCTTTTCGAGAATTCATCTGGCTGGCTGGAGGCAGTGGATTCTCGTGCTGCGTGCAGGCATTCGCGGATAATCATGAACGAGAACGATACGAGGACCTAAATCTCAGACTCCTGGTGTGGCAAGGGAGACACTACATCACATAATAGTGACAGAAAGTAGTTTGGAAAATGAAGCTATAGGATTCAAGGAAAGGCTCATGGAAGTTGAGGTGGGTGACCCAAGAGAATCCCTGGATTGAGAACAAAGTTATGCATAGGATAGTAGGTAACCAGGAAAGAATGTTTCAGGTAGAGAGAACAGCCAATGCAAAAGCTAGGAAGCCAGTGAAAGCAAAGGATGTGTTTGGACATGCAAAGGAATAGTAGGCCTAGATGGGAGATAAGCAAACTAAGAGGACTTGGGTGGGGGGGTCACCCTCTGAAGCCGTCTCTTGCCACTCCCATCCCCAGGTCCCTGAGGACTTCATCTCCCGGGAGCTATTTGACACTGTCCAAGTGTACATCATCACCAAGCCAGAGCTTCAGAACAAGCTTATTACTGTGTAAGGCTCTAGCTGGGTGGAGGTCGGGGGTCCTGGGAGGAGAGGACTAGCTCAGGTGCAGTCCTGACTGTGTTCCGCCCATGCAGCACAGCCATGGAAAAGAAGTTGATCGGCTGTCCTGTGTGCATTGAACACAAGAAGTACAGTCGCAATGCCCTTCTCTTCAACCTGGGCTTTGTATGTGATGCCCAGGCCAAGACCTGTGCCCTGGAGCCCATTGTTAAAAAGCTGGCTGGCTACCTGACCACACTGGAGGTGTGCAACAAGATGGGCTTGGGTGTGCGGAAGGGCAGAGTTGGGGAGAGTATTCCTATGGCTCCAAAGCCCCAACCTCACCCTGACACCTAGCTGAGAACCCAGATGGGCATCATGCCAGTCAGGGGCCCTGGAATACCCAACATGCTGTCCATCCTCTGTCCAGCTAGAGAGCAGCTTCGTGTCCACAGAGGAGAGCAAGCAGAAGTTGGTGCCTATCATGACCATCTTACTGGAGGAGCTAAATGCCTCTGGCCGGTGTACCCTGCCCATAGGTATGGCCTACTCTGAAAGGACTGCAGATGAATAGAAGGATAGGAAAGTGGTAAGAGAACATGAAAACACCTGCTGGGAGAGGACAAGACTCTGGGACACTTTGGTGACTAGAAAACAGCCAGAGGCAGAGGTGATGATGTCCAGGGTCCTATGCATAATGGACAAGGGGGGCAGCCACCAGAACTCTACCACTCTGCCCCTTGAGCACATTCCTTCCCCTGGACCTGTTTATCAGTGAGGGGAAGAATGGGTGATGCACACCTGTAATCCTAGTTACTCAGTAGGCTGAGATGGCCAGGCCAAGGCCTCTGACATCACCCCATCCCCACCCCACCAGGGATGAGCTATCATGAGCTGGATGAACTGCTGTTTCTCTAGGAGGATGGCAAGTTTGAGGCCAGCCTGGGGAACTTAGTGATATCCTGTTTCAAAATAAAGTAAAAGCTAGCTATGGTGGTACATGCCTGTAATCCCAGGAGGATTATCAAAAGTTGAAGGCAAAAAAAAAAAGGTTGAAGGCAGGCCTGGGCTACACATCATAAGTGCAAGGCCAGCTTGAACTACCTAACAACATGCTGTCTCAAAAAACCAAAACATAAAATAAATAAGCTGGGGATGTAGCTAAGTGGTGAAGTGTTTCAGAGTAGGTGCAAGGCTCTGGGGTCAGTGCTTTGTACAATAAAAAGGAAAGGAAGAGAAAGAAAAGAATGTCCATGCTCAGAGCCACCTTCCTACCTCAAGGGATTCTGGTAGGTATGGAAGGTAATTAAGGCCCTCTTGGGAGAGATGACTCTGAGGATATGGATGGGGTCCCCTGCAGATGAATCCAACACCATCCACCTGAAGGTGATTGAGCAGCGGCCAGACCCTCCTGTGGCCCAAGAGTATGATGTCCCTGTCTTTACCAAGGATAAGGAAGATTTCTTCAGTTCACAGTGGGACCTCACCACACAACAGGTATGCCAGTCCTGAGTAGCATCACATGGGTCTGGCCACAGCCCTGGCCTCATCTGCCCACACTGACCCTGCCCTGCTCTGTCCAGATCCTGCCCTATATTGATGGTTTCCGCCACGTCCAGAAGATCTCAGCTGAGGCAGATGTGGAGCTTAACTTGGTGCGCATTGCCATCCAGAACCTGCTGTAAGTGAGGCTGCAGTCGTGTCCTGTATACAGTCACCAGCCAGGAAAGAGCTTGAGGGTTATGAGTATGGGCTGACAAAGTGTGTCCTCGGAAGCTGAACACATCTCTCTCCCCTAGGTACTATGGTGTTGTGACTCTGGTGTCCATCCTCCAGGTAGGTGAGTCCAGAGTATGGATGAGTGAAGTGTGGACCAGGTGACTGGCCAGACTGGTCCAGCTGCCCGAGCCCAGGCCTATCATTCAGGCTCCTGTGCCTTCTAGTACTCCAATGTGTACTGCCCGACACCCAAAGTCCAGGACCTGGTAGATGACAAATCCCTTCAAGAGGCATGTCTGTCCTTCGTAACCAAGCAAGGTAGTAGTGGGCTCTGGGAGAGGCTACCTCGGGGAGGCCAGCTTGGGGAGGGCAGGGCCACCTGGTGAGCTGACTCCAGCACCCACAGGGCACAAAAGAGCCTGTCTCCGGGACGTGTTCCAGCTATACTGCAGCCTGAGCCCTGGCACTACCGTGCGAGACCTCATTGGCCGCCACCCCCAGCAGCTGCAGCACGTTGATGAACGGTCAGAGTGGCATTCCCTGAGGGATGAGGGTGTTGCCTCAGGGGAAGTGAACTGCTATTTCTCTAGAGAAGTCCTAGGTCAAAGAGGAAGCAGGGGACTTCTCAGTGAGCAAAATCCTAGGCACAGCTAATCCAGGCAGTCTTCCTGGAGGTGATGGTCTTGGAGGTCAGTCTGGCCACTGAAACAGAATTGAAAGGGAGACTGCAGGAAGTGGCTGAACTGGTTAGGAGGAGGCCTGGTTGGGGTATCACCACTCTTCTCCGGTCCCCACCCCAGGAAACTGATCCAGTTCGGGCTTATGAAGAACCTTATACGAAGACTACAGAAGTATCCTGTGCGGGTATCTCGAGAGGAACAGAGCCACCCTGCCCGGCTTTATACAGGCTGTCACAGCTATGATGAGATCTGCTGCAAGACAGGTGGAGGCAGGTGGGGGGTGGGTCAGGGCTGGGTTGCCAGGCCAAGGCCTCTGACATCACCCCATCCCCGCCCCACCAGGGATGAGCTATCATGAGCTAGATGAACGGCTGGAAAATGACCCCAACATCATCATCTGCTGGAAGTGAGGCTGGCTGGTGGGGGAGTACTGCTGTGTCTATTCCCTCCTGCTGAGTCCTGCCTGGTACATGGAGGCCAAACAAATAGACTAGTATTTGCTGAAAAGTGACCGCCAGTTCTGTAAATAAAGTCTTCATTTCAACCTATCTTTATTGAGTATTTCCTTAGACCTTTATTGAGTACTCCCTCTTAAGTCTGCTGCAAAGACCTAGCAGCGAAAATAGCTACCCATCCTGGCGCCATCTGGTGGACAGAATCAACACAGTCAGTGTGCCCCTCAATTGTAAACTAAAACAGCCAGAAACATGTGCTAATGAAGAATAAATTGGGGTGGGAGCGTTTGCCCCTCAAGCACAAGGGCCTGAGTTCAATCCCTGGTTCCGCCAAAAAAAAAAAGATAAATTGGGGTGGGAACAGAGACTGCTTTAGAGTAAACAGGCAAGGAAGACTACACAGAAATGATTTAAAGTGACCCCTGAGGCAGAAAAAGTATTCCGAGAGGGGAAACAAGTGCAAACCCTTGAGTCAAAGAGTGAAAACCCTTTACTTTGAGGGGAAAAAAAAAAAAACACCTTTGGGACTTGAGAGGAACTGAAGAGAAGCCCATGGAGCTGGAACATGAAAAAGATTCAAAAATCAAAGTCCCAGGGCTGGCCACATAGCTCAGTGGATTAAAGCACCTGCTTAGGCAGACATAGGGATTTGATACCTGGCATCTGAGCTGGCCTTGCCCCTGGGGCGCGCTGAGACTGAGCATGGTGGCACACCTGTAATCCCAACAATTGGGAGGCTGAAAACAGGAGGATCACTACAAGTCCAATCTGCGTAGTGAGACCCTGTACTAAAAATACATAAAAAAAAAAAAAATTGTGTGGTGGCACGCACCTGTAATCCCAGCTCCTGGGAGGCTGTAAACAGATGGATCACTATGAGTTGGATCTAGTCGTGAGACCCTGAAAGCCCTGTAGACCCTTCCCTAAAATACAAAAATAAATAAATAATAAAGTGTGCCAATAAAATTAATTTAAAAAAATTAAAAATTCTGAAAAAAATCAAAGTCCCAGTCAGGTTAGTAGAGCATGCCTGTAATTGTAACACTTTGGTGGGCAGAGGTGGGAAGATCTCAAATTAGACCCCAGCCTGAGCAATTTAGTAACCTAGCAAGACCCTGACTCAAAATTAAAATAAGTAAAGTAAAATTCAAATGGCTGGTTGTGGCAGAATTACCATGAGTTAGAGGCCAGCCTGGGCTACAAAGTGAGCTCAAGGCCAGGCTGAACTGCATAGTGAGACCCCGCCTCAAAAAGACACACACAGGTGCCGGGGAGATGGCTCAGTAGAATAAGCGCTTGCCTGGTAAGCCCAAGTGTCTGAGTTCAATCCCCGGTTCCGCAAAAAAAAAAAAAAAAAAAAAAAAAAAAAGACACACACAAAAAAAGGCCAACGGGTAATCTTATGGAGCTTCTGATAACTGTAGCTAGCACTCAGGGGGCCAGATAGCTACAGAGCTGCCGACCTGCAAAGGAGTATTGTCTGATACACACCTTTAAGACTCCTAGCTGCTGGGAGGGCCCAGAGCAGAAGTTGGTCTAGTGGTGAATTTATTCCAAGGACGGACTGGACTAGGATGGAGAAAAGTTGTGGGCTTTGGTGAGTACCTCGGGAGTAGAGTCAACTGGTGGAACAGGCTGTGAAAAACAGGAGAAGCCAGGAGGAGCATCCCAGAAGGGCAAGAGGCACAGCTACAGGAGTAGCTGGTGGGAATCAGGTTACCCCACCCGCTGTGCAAGCCAACTTGGAAGGTTTTTTGTTTGTTTGTTTTCGCCAACTTGAAGTTCTGGGAGAGAGTCTAGGCCACAAGAAACTGGCTTGAGAGAAATCTTGGGAGACTCCTAGGGTTGCTATGGTGGGGGGCGCTCTGTGAGCGGAGTGGGCGTGGTGAGCAGAGGGGCGTGGCCGGTTGGACCACACTGCGCAGGCGTGAGCTAACTTGTTTCCATAGCAGCGACCTCTCACTCCAACTGCCCAGCAACTGTTCTGCAACTGTGCTGTCCCAAACATTAGCCCAGCCGGAGTCAGCAGTCCCCAAGTGTGTTAGCGCCCCAGCCCTAACCACTGCCCAAGTGGGTGGATCCTGTCCTGTCCTCGACATGACCGACCTGGAGCTGCTGCTGCCCGGGGAAGCTGACAAGCTCGTGCAGCAACTACGCAGCTTCCTTCCTCAGGAGATGGGCTCTGAAGGGTGAGGAAGCTGGGATAGGTGAAGTTTCCAGGCTCAATCTTGAGTGGGATAGCTCGGACCTGACAGTGGGGAAGGGACTAGGAGTATTTAGTCCATGAGCCCCCTTTGACCCCTCAAGATCAAGTTTGTCTTCAGCACAACCCAGCACCACCACCACCCACTGAACTGGTGCATACACAGGTACCCAAATGCATACACTCTTCTGGTGCAGGTGGAGCCAGCAGCATGAAAACCTGGAGAAGCTGAACATGCAAGCCATCCTTGATGCCACAGTCAGCCAAGGAGAGCCCATCCAGGAGCTGCTGGTAACCTACGGAAAGGTATATCAAAGATTCCTGCCTGCCTTTCCTATGCTTCAACCACCCTACCCCTCAGGAGCACATACATGTCTGTCCTGCCTGGGCTGGTACACCTCACCTCCCTCAAGAGGAAAGAGTAATGTGTTATATTTCCTCTTATACCCCTTTTGGACAGAAATCCAGCATGCCAGACCTGTGATAGTGATAGAGGACGGGTTGATTACAGAGATAGTTATGGATCTGAGGACAGGCTAGGTTGTAGGGGAGGCCCCAAGTACTAAAGTCATCCTAAATTTTTTTTTTTAATTTTATTTATTTATTTATTTGTTTGTGTGTGTGTGGCCAGCTCAGCCCACCAGGGGGCGGGCTGGCTGGCATGTGGTGCTGGGGGATTGAACCCCGGTCCCTGTGCTCTGCCAAGCTTGTTCCAAGTAGGTGCCTTAGACCACTGAGCCATCTCACCAGCCCAAGTCATCCTAAATTGACTGTAAGACAGAGGAGGTTCTCAATGAAGTACATATGGGACTTTGCTTTAGAAGGAAGCAGCCTTTCTGACATGGAAGAGGGAGAATTAGAAACCAGGGAAATGGGGCTGGTGAGATGGCTCAGTGGTCTAAAAAGCACCTACTTAGAACAAGCTTAGCAAATCAGAGGGACCACGGTTCAATCCCCCAGCACCACATGCCAGCCAGCCCTGCCCCCTGGTGGGCTGAGCTGGCCACACACACACACAAATAAATAAATAAATAAAATTTTAAAAAAAAAAGAAACCAGGGAAATAACTGGCTGGAAGATGGGCCAGAAAGTGGCACAAACAGAAGTCTCAAGATACCACTTCATAAAAGGGTTCCTCTGTAAGTCCACTACTAAGGGATAGAGTAGGAATAATATCAGGAACTGATCAGTCACCCAGTCTGCCTAGTCAGGAGTACAGTGAAAGGATAAAATAAGAGACAAGTTTAGTAACTCATCACAGGGAAGCTGGGAGGTCAGTGGCAGAGGATGGGCAGAGACAAAAGTACTCCAAGCTAGACACTATTTATTGGGTATATACTATAATAAGAGGTTGGTGGTGACCTTATGCTGATGAGAATCTTTATGTTGATGAGGACAGTGGGAAGAGATGGCAGGTTAGGGAATTTGTCTGAGCTGGAGATATAGCTCAGGAGCACAGCACCTGCCTAGCAAGCATGAGGTGCTGAGTTCGATTTCTGGTACCCACAAAACAAAACAACCAAAAACAGGAGTTCGTCCTTTCCCCAAGGCAAAACTCTATTTTTGTTACTACTGGGTTCTCAAGGAACTAGGATGTCTTCAGGTAATGTAATCTTGCCCTGGGGCATCACACCACAGGACCACTGAGGTCTCAACTGTGACTAGAGGCACATAGAATTATGTTCCCACATACCATTGGTGACCCATATGGCATGGCAGTAGGCCTTGAACAAGCCCTAATCACAATTTAATTATGAAGTGATTTTTCCCCAACAATTATAAAGAATGGCCCTCAACAGAGTAGACACTATAGGCCAGGGAGATGGCTCAGTGGCATAAACACCTGCCTGACAAGCGCAAGGTCCTGAGTTTGATCCCTGGTTTAAAAAAAAAAAAAAAAAAAGGAGGTGCAGGGGAGATGGCTCAGTGGAATAAAGCACTTCCCTGGCAAGTGCAAGGGCCTGAGTTCAATCCCCGGTTTTGAAAAAAAAAAAAAAAGGAACACTAGCTGAGGATATAGCTCAGCCTGGCAAGCATAAGATCCTGAGTTCAATTCCCAGTACAAAGGAAAAAAAAAAAAAAAGCACCAGAATAGAACACTATAAAGGGACCTGAATAAGAGTGAAACTGAGGACACAAGACAGTCTTAAAGGGCCAGAAGATAGGGCAGAGGCTGGGCATGAGCAAGAAGCTGGCCTAAAAGGGATTCCTGAATGCAGGAAGAGGGGATAGAGGACATAGAGGGGGTACGGGCACAAGGAGGGCAAGACAACTTGATGACAGGTAATGGTCCATTACGGGAACCAGGTGGTTGTCCCCACAGAGAAGTTTGGGTCACTGGAAATGAAGGTCTAAGGAGAGAGGAGGGGAAATGTACTTAGGGGGTTTGGGAGACTCTAGGAGCCCAGAGGAATTTAAGAGCTGATGGGGCCGGGGAGATGGCTCAGTGGAATAAGTGCTTCCCTGGCAAGCACAAGGGCCTGAGTTCAATCCCTGGTTCTGCAAAAAAATAAATAAATAAATAAATAAATAAATAAGAGCTGAGCCTCGTTAAGCCAGAATGTGAGGCTAAATTAGGATAAAGTAGGTCTATACCATCCCTATTTCTCTCCCACCTTTGAAAGATCCCAACGCTGGTAGAAGAACTGATTGCAGTGGAGATGTGGAAGCTGAAAGTATTCCCTGTACTGTGCAAGCTGGAGGACTTCAAGCCTCTGAACACCTTCCCCATATACATGGTGGTGAGCTGGTCCCCTAGCTCAGAACTCTTCTCACTCTGTCAGAGGACCCTGGACTGGGAAGCTGGTAGCCCCTACCTCTCCCTGCAGCCTAGGCCCTGTCTTCCTCTTTGTCTGACAGGTACACCACGAGGCTTCCATTATCAACCTCC